TGAGAGTCCCGCCCTGAACACATGTACATGCCAATAAACACACAATGTCATAGCGCCACTAACATAACACCTTCATGCAGCGTCCGCAGCGCGTAGAAAATTCACAGCCGCACCGTCAGAGCTCCAGAATATGCAACACGGCGGCCTCACAACCCGATGCGCTACACGTGCGAAGGCCCACCCAACGCTGCTTGCAGCTTTAATTTACTAAATTTTTTGTGCATTTAATCGGATGCTTAATTATTTACCGAGCATTTATTTATTTCTGTATTTATTTCCCTTTATGTCAGAATCTGTCCTCCATAATTCGCAACCCTCTCCACTAGATGTTACTAAAACTTACACTCTGAACCTTTAAATGGAAACACTAAATAAAACTGTCCAGATGTGCTGACTTAATTAGACATCATTACATAATCTTCACAATATGTACTTTTTAAATAGAGGCAAGACGTGTACATATAGGTGGATAAAGAAATGTGATGGTTCAGCTACAGTATTTATTTAGATATAGTACCAGCAACATCAAATATATCCACAATCAACACAACTTTAGAAACAGGAACAACACCTTCATCAACAGGCAGTACCACTTCAGGACCTATCAGTGAGACCTGGCCAACAATCAACAGAACTTTAGTGCCACAGAAGACATCACCACTAGTCAGTAAGACCTCACCTTCGAAATCACACCACAGCTTCACCACCTGTCAACAATCCGGTAACACAGCTCTACTTCACAATCAGTCAAGACAACTTCACCAGTGTATGAACATATACTTCACCATGTCACCTGTGGTCAAGATGACCATGAAAATGGATTCAGGAATGGATTCAATGGGATTGCTAAATCAAGAACAGGTGGCTGGATAGTTGACTCAGGAAAGGCGGGCTGCAGGCTCACAAACCCTAGCCAAATAAACTGGAATGCAGGTTGATTGCTAAACAGTGTTGGGGTAGTTACTCAAAAAAGGTAATTGATTACACATTACTATTTACTTTTTTTAATACCTTACTTAACTAGATTACTCAATGCTGAAAGTAACTAGTTACACTACTAGTTACATTGCTTTTGGATTACTGCGTAATATAACTTGTGATGCACAATAACAATAAGGTTACACCTCATGTATGCCCAGATCAAAAAAAATCCTTATTATAATGAGAACATACACATGATCTGTCTTTTATGCTCTTTAATACTACAAAGCTGAAGTTGTGAACATCAGCCCAACATTTGTCAAGAGAAGAACAAGGCCAGAGTACGGTAGCCTACTACTATGCTTAAAACTTTATTTGGACATTTCATTGGAAACATTTCTTTCTTTTCTCCGTGAGAGGGAAGAATTTAGAAAGTTGCGTGGCGCTGTGGAGACCCCCCAGCTGCCGTAGTGCATGGATATTGTAATATTAATTCAGCCAGAAGGAACGATCACGAACCATTCATAGCGTGTCCGTCGTACTAGCGACACAACCTGTACCGGAGATGGAGTGGGGTGGTGGAGCATACAGGGCCAGAAGATCGCGGAGAGACCGGCCCGCTGCGGACAATCAGTGATTGTTCCCTCTGGCTGGATGAAGTCTGACGCTCTGTGTGATCCATGATGATAAGAGAAATATAGAGATTAATGGCAATAAAGCATGCTGTCAATATTTTAGAGACCCCCCAAAATATCACAAGTCATGCTTTTAGACTGGAGCAAAGGTTGGTGGCTAGTAGGATGAGGCGCAAAGTCGTGTGCAGGCTGAGGTGCAGCCTGGCTGCAAACAGGCTGGTTGCTGGCTGGTGATAGAGGGCCACGATGAATGCTGGTGGCAGGCAGGTAACTAGCATGCTGCAGGTTAGCTGGCTGGGAAGCAGAGGAGGCTGGAGTGACAGACTCATGAGAAACAGGATGCAGAATGCTACCAACTGGTCAGAACTCAGGGTCCTACTTCCAGTGGGCTGCGATAATCTCCAAAAAATCCTGGCTTGTCCCCAAACAAAACATCTTGTGTCACTCCTGTTCTGCAGGGAAATGGGGATTTAATTTTTTCTGCTCAATTATGTTGCTGTAAAGCACTTTGGCACAAAACTGGGTTGTTTTAAACAGGTGCTATAAATAAATCCGAGTTTGACCTTGACTTATGAGCAAACTATGACAACAAGAAAACACTGCTCACAAAAGATCATGTAACCTGATTGTAGACACCTGTTTGACCACTTTTACCTTTGTTAACAGCATTGAACATGATTTCCACAGAAACAAGGTAAGGCAAAGCAAGTGTTATTTATATAACACCCTTCACATACAAGGAAATACAGAGTGCTTTTAAGGGACATAGATATACAGTAAAAACTACATTCAAATAACAACAACAATAATAAAAACAAAATGAAATACAAACAAAAACAACAGAAAAAGACATTTACTAAAATAGCCTGATTTAAATGAGATGACAATTAACATGACATTGACAATTAATATTTTTATACATTATGCTATTATGTATTTGCAACATTATTGTGCATGTGACACCTGTAGTTATCGGTGGTAACAGCAAATGCAGGTTAATAGACCTATCACAGAAGTCTGCGGCAGCTAAAGAAACCATTGTCAGGCAATAATTGGTCTTTTTCCATAATTATGTGAGCAGCCATGAACTGACTTTATTCTGCATAAGACGCAAGTCCGGGCACAGTGAAAATGTTAGTAAATGTTACCTGGCTGAAAAGGTGGAGGTGTGCAGCTCTTCACCTATCAGTTTGTAATACTGCAAATACTTTAATCAGTGGCCATTCTGTGGGCCTGATGGAAAGCTTTTGTGGGCCGGATGTGGCCCATGACCTTTTGAGCAGTATCTTATTGTCAGCCGTGTCAAATGCATCACTGAGGTCCAGTTATACCAAAACCATGAAATGAATAAAAGGAGATGCTGAAAAACAACCTTTTCAACCTTTCCAAAAAAAGGGAAGATTTCATATGGGCCTGTAGTTATTTATTACTGAGGCATCCAACTTTGTTTGGGTTCCTATAGTCTTGCATAGCAGACACCGGACAGATCATATTACATTTATAAAAATGTGTATCTTTTTACAGTAAAAAAAATAGGTAATTTAAATTCTTATAAAAGTTTTAACATAAGAAACAGTTCAGTCTGTAGTTCCATAACTGAGTAACGTAATCTTACTGGCAAACTATAGATGTGTAAAGTATGCTCTATGTTGTTTGGGCACGCTATTGTTTCAGCAATGTAAAAGAGTGTCCAAAATAGACACAGGCATTTGTTTGCCATTGGCTGTCAGCGATATGACAATGTAGTGGAACCTGCTCACTGTGAGTGAAATATAAATAACACCCTCACAAAAGAAACACTCCCACATTCTGCAATGATGCTCAGAAGTGCCCATGCTAACGTGACATTTCATTAATGCAGGAAAAATGTTGCCAACTTCCTCCTTCAAACAATAGAGGCTGTAGACTCCTACCCAACACTCCTTTTCCTGGAAACCGGTGATTTTTGTTTCCCAGATTCACGACTACTAATTGATTCAAAGAAGTCCCTGTCTTGTAAAAAGTAAAGTTGCAAAATTAAAGTAAAATCCTATTTAAAATAAACACAAAAACAATAAATATACAGACACTTTGATTTAATTTTACAGATTTTTCCGAAACTATTACGATCAAACACCTTCAATATAATGTTAACATATGCTGGTTGCAATCAGTTTTATTTTAGAAGACAAAATATCCAAAGAAGGTTAAAGTCAAGGGCAACTGGACTTGGTTTAAGATACTAGAAGACATTTCGTCCCTCATCAGAGAGACTTCTTCAGTTCTGACTGACTAGTAGGGAAACTCAGTTATTTAACTTCTGTGGGATCGTTTGCCAGGATCAGGAACGAACGGCTGGTTTGTTAGTGCTCCTGGCTGTTGTAACAACAGTCGTTATGGTCGTTAGAACCACCCAAGGCCAAGTCCGAATGACCATCATTGCCATCTTCACCTGAGGCCCAGAGGATACATTTGTTAAGTTTCCTGGGGAGTGATGAAAGGACAGCATTGTAAGTGAGGGACAAGTGGTGGCGTAGACCCCTTCCTCTGTTAAACGACGGGTTCTCAACCTGTGTTACTGGCTTCCTGGACACCCCTTTCAAACCGTCCATCCTCTCTGTCTACAATGTGTACCTGGTGATCCTCAAATGAGTGCCACTATTGATTCTCGTTTTTAATGTGTTCAGATGTAAATGTACAATATCAAAAAATAACTATTCAGTATATATTAACATATCTTATATCTTCAGAGCCCTAGGATAAATGGGACAATTTCAGTTTCCCTTCCTGACAATCGCAGGGGTGTTCCCGATCCGAGGTGTGTCAGACCAGATTATCAGCCCAAATAATCCTGTAGTGTGAAGGTTTTATAGACATAATCTTAAAGTTATCGACTCGATTGGAGGCACCCCAATATCATGTGTAAATACAATTCAAAATTGGGTTGTTCATATACAGATAAATTAATGTCTATAATTATAACTACTTTAAAACGTTTTCTGTAATATTACTACAGCGTAGGTCCTTTCTTGCAGTGGCTTCACTGCCTTCATACAATCTAATCTGTTATTCTTATGACGCCTGGGGAGGCTTTATCTCAAATATCTTGTGAGGCAGCAGCAGTCTGAATTCCATATCTGCAACTTTCCCACCAGTTGAACATAGTGTATTTCCATTATAACATATTTTTGTTTCTGTTGTCATGTTTTCTACAGGTTGATTTACCCTCATTTCCTAATTTCCCTTCATCAAATGTGTATGCTGTTGGTAATTTAAAAACAATTTAATGGACCCGAGGAAGAAAAAACAATGCTAATTGGATTAATATAGAAAGAAAGAAAGAATGTTTGAAATAACAAAGTTGATTCCCTCACTCAAACTGCATCATCCTACTCCACCTTGGAGGAAATGATGCACAGCAGAACAAGTCCTGCAAGTTATGTTAGACATCTGAAAAAACCCACACAAACCTCGCTCAATGACAAGCCTTTACTTCGACATGTTGATTCGAGAGGATAAAGTGTCTGAAGCCTTTTTAGTGTCAGCTTGAACCATTTATTGAACAATTGCTGTGAATTTAACAATATTGCTACACAGTTGGACAGTTGAAGGTAAGAAATCAAATATTTATATTGACATGGCTGTATACAACTTAACATTTTAATATTAACCACAAGGAATCACTTTGTATCACCAATATCTACTTTATGTCTACTAATTTACTTTTGAAAAGGCTGTTAATAAGCCACACATTTTGCAATTTTTTAAACAATGTTTAATATTCTTTTTGTGACTTTAAATTCAATACTGTGATTTTGAATGAAGGATTTCTATTTGGGTTTAAGGGAAATCTATCAAAGAAATTCTAATCCTAATTTATGCAATTTATGCTTTTCCATTGATTAGTGATGTGCGATACCACTTAATTCCTATACGATCCAATACCAATACCCAGGCTGGTATTGCCGATACTGATACAGAGATATTTCTAGTTTAATGTGACCTCCCTCCTCCCATTTCTGTATTTATGAGGGAAATACAGTGTAGGCTGTAGGCTTACCAATTGCAAATAATAGCTGCATAATGACAAGACATCAAACCACTTTCATATTCTTTAATTATAATAGACATATCCTGCTCAGAACCGCCACTTCGTAACATTGTCAAATTATTTTCACTTAATCTCAGCTTTTTAGCAAAGTGTGTGGTGTTGTCAAAGTATTTCACTGTCTTTGCACGCACATCATACACAGCATCATTATTAGCTTCACAATTAAAATACAGCCACATGTGACTGCTTTTAGAGTCATTCATAGTCAGTATTCAATCACGGGAAATATAAAGGGCTGCAGTGGCTCACTTCAAAGAAGCTGTCACAAAGCCATAGCGCTAGCATGACTTTGACAGTCAGAAGGAGAAGTAATTCGTATCAAGTATAACTAGACCATCCAGGTGACAGTAAGATACTTATGATAAAACAAACACTCACTCTAAATTACTGACTTTAGATATCAATCCTTTTATATTAGTATCGATCCTAGAGCAAGAAATGTTGGATTCAGAAATATTGATGTTTTATTATGGATCCACACATCACTACAATTGATATGTGTTCTGCTTTTAGGTCACATATTTTTATTGAGTCTTCCTTTTTTCATGTATTTGCTCAGACACACTTTTAACTTCCATCATGAAATTATACCACATCTTGTTAAATTACACTAAATATTAATAAAAGGCAATGCATATATTTCTGAAGGCTGTAATGGCTAAACAGATAGGGTATGAGCACCTTTGTGCTTTGTGTGTGTGTTCTGGATATAATGAATATAATGACCAAAAGTTATTCTGCTGTAGCAGCTAAGATTATCAAATAAGAACTGCCATGAATTTTACCATTGCAAAGGAAATTTCTTTGTTTGATAAATATATACCAATATTGATTCCATGAAAAAGGATAAAAACAAATAAAGCATGGAAATATATTTTGGTACAAATTACATAAAATATATATATTAAATTTATAACAAACATGTGAATCTCAAACTGAAAGTCTGATACATTCATGGCTTAGACAGAAACTGCGTCAGGAGTTTTAGAGAGGCTAAGAGAGTTTTAGAGAGTCTAGCTCTCACCTCTGCCAAGAGGTTGAGTGAGCTGCGCGCCCTGTCGGTTCATCCCAGCTCGATGCTGCTTTGTGATGACCACAGCGCAACGGTATTAAGACCGAACCCCTCCTTTGTCGTTCAGGTCGAGAACGATACATTTGGATGCCTTCCACCCCATCACACCCTGGGCCTAGGGAGGCAAGGCTGCATCTGTTGGGTCTGGCATGCACCCTTACCCATTATATAGAGCTCTCATTTGAGCTTCGAGGAGTGATCTCTGAGGAGCTATGAGCGAGCATACACCAGTATATCCTTCGCGGAAGTCTTTTAATGACTGACACGCCCCCTTAATGGGTGGCTATTGTATTGATTCGACGCTGTAGCTGATCGGACTGATCTGATGCATCATGACAGAACATTAAACTCTAGTGCAACACTGCAAAGTGGTTAAATTTGATTTCACTGTCTAGTTAAAATCTTCATTGTAGGTCTGAACAACAAAAGCCCCACACGCAACTTTATTTATTTTGGGCTATTAGAATGATTTTGTTTTTCTCTTATTTCTCCCATCAACTTTTGTTATGGAGACAATTAAAGTGAGAGAGTCTGTCAGCAAGAAACATTTTTTACATAATTTATCGTCATTTCTATTCAGTCACATGTGAGGCTGGTCATTCCTGTGTTTAGTCCAAATAGAAACAATAAAACATAGTAAACAAGTTAGGAGTCGGACAAGTCACTCAAGTCTCTACTGAAGCAAGCAAAGGAAAATAAATCCGCTCATTCAGCCGATCTCACCTACTGCATCTGATGAAAGTAGCCGGAGGTTCCTCAATTAAAATCAGCTGATGAAAGTGTGAATGAAAGCTGCTGTGCTAAAAAAACAAAAATGATCGATCCATTATGAGGGATGTTACTTGCATAAATTAAATATATTAGTGTTAAAGGATATCAGAAGAGGAAATAAATGGAAAGCCTAAAACTGAGCGTCAACTTTGATACATGTTACATCATTTCAATTTCCCTGAAAAATTTAGCCTAATAAATCCCAAGACACCATGATCATATTCTGGGTTTACAGTCAGAATCAATAAATATAAATACAGATAATATCAGCATTGTGCCAGTAGAAATTATCCTCTGAGCAGGACATACAGCAGGCCCCTAACCTATAATTTTTCATGTGCAGGTGTTTGTTAAACAGGTAACAGAGAATCATGCTGCTCTGAGCACTTTTCAAAAACAAGTTACAAAGTGCTTTAACAAGTGTAAAGAATAATACAAAATAACAAGATAAGAGCATGAAAAATTAATATAAAATTAGTAAAATACAATAAAATAAAAGGGATAAAATAAAGTCAAATAAGATCGGGAAAGGCTCTCCTATAAAAGTATGTTTTAAGAAGGGACTTAAAAGAGTTCACTGACTCAGCCGACCCGATTTCCTCGGGCAGGCTGTTCCAGAGCCTCGGGGCCCTGACAGCAAACGCTCTGTCCTCTTTAGTTTTCAGTCGAGACTCTGGAACAGACAACAGACCTCTTCCCGAGGATCTCAAGGTACGTGCTGGTGCGTATGGGACTAAAAGGTCAGAAATATAACAAGGCGAGAGGCCATGAAGAGCTTTAAAAGTGATCAATAGAATTTTAATGGGAGCCAGTGTAATGAAGCTAAAATAGGAGTAATGTGGTCATATTTCTTTGTTCTGGTTAAAAGCCTGGCAGCTGAGTTCTGGACAGTCTGGAGTCGATCAATAGATTTTTGGGTTAAACAGGTGAAAAGGCTGTTGCAATAATCCAGGCGTGATGAGATGAAGGCGTGTAAAATGGTCTCGGTGTCCTTAAAAGTTAACATAGATCGAATTTTTGCTATATTTCTAAGTTGATAAAAACATGATTGAACAAGCTTTGTGGTGTGCTGCTCGAAATCTAAATTACTATCAAACCAAACACCAAGGATAAATTATAACAAATATGATAGGTTGCAGCCCTCCAACTTTAAGAGTGAGAACTTCAAAGGAGTTAAATTCATCACAGCGTACTTGATGACATTTAAAATTTTTCCTATACACGCTCACTAGCCCACCACCACGACCACTGACCCTCGGTTGACTAAAACAATCATATTGAGGCGGACACAGTTCAGCTAGCTGGTTATAGTCATTCATCTGCAACCAGGATTCAGTTAAAAACATAAAATCTAGATTTGCAGACAAGATAAAATCATTTAAGATAAAGGTCTTACTTGAAAGTGATCTCACATTGAAGACAGCCATTTTAAATGAGTTTGTTCTGGGTGCTGGAGTTGGTGCAGTTGTCCTAATCCTTAAGAGATTACTATTATTTCTGTGTGGATGTGCACATTTCGGTTTACTGGTCTATGCGTGATGATGACAGCAATAGAAGTCTGTGGAACAGCGCTGGGAGCAGACGGCTTTACATGCCAGCAGGTGGAGACAGTTGTTTGTGGCAGTGAGGCAGAGATCTGTTCAGTGAGCGGTGGTGTGTCCAGGTGTGCTGCATGAATGATTAGTCATTCACGTAAATCATGTGTGGACTGCACCACATGCTGTATGTGCGCATCTAACATTTCTGAGCCCCATTTGTTTGGGTGAAGTCCGTCTGTCTTAAAAAGAGACATTCTTTGCCAGAAAATATTAAAATTATCCACATAACACGAACAATGAGCCCTGCAGGCGGACTGGAGCCAGTCGTGGAGGCCAAGGAGTCTACTGAAGCGGCCAGCACCGCGACCAACTGTGGGAATGGGACCAGAGATAAAAACGGACTTTCCACACTGCTTTAAAAAGTTAAAAAGACGGTTAAAATCTGATTTTGTCAGCTCAGACTGCCGAAGAGCTGTGTCATTTGTTCCGACATGGACTATCACTCTTGTGATGGAGGACGGGAGCGACGGCATCAGGTCCTGGAGTTTTTTTAAAATGTCCTTTGGTGGTGGCACCGGGGAAGCAGTGAGTGGTAGCGTTAAAGAAACGGAGGTTTCTGGTTATGGAGTCACCAATTATTAGTGTGGTTGGGGAGAAAAGAGGACAAGGAGATGCTGGTTGTTGGGATCCAGAGCAGGACTGAGCAGAATCTGCTTCAACACTGCGTGCGGACTGAGGATGTATGAGCTGCCGAGTGTTGTGTTGGAGTAGCAGTAACAGACCTGAGAGAAGGGCTACCCGACGGTGCAGGGTAGAGACGGCCTCCGGAGCGTCTGAGCACAGCCTCCTTCAGGATCCTACGTCGGGAAGCGGAGGTTTTTGACCGGGATGACGGCCGCCGATCAGGCCCGGCGGCAGACCGGCGGCCCAGTGCAGGAGATGTAGCCGGTGAAGGAGATGCAACAGTGTCGGCAGGCACTGTGCGCCGAAAGAGATCCGTATCAGGGAGACTCGAAGCCGCAGGTGCATCCGCTGGATGGACCGGAGTGTCGTTAGACAAGGCTGCATAGCGGTTGGAGAGGCCGATGTGCGGAGGAGAGGCAGCCCCATCCGAGCCTCTCTTGCAGCCACGGACCACCACTTCAGCCCCGGTTGACTGATGCTTTGGAGTCGAGCAGGATGAATGCCTGGGAAGGTTAGAGGGGTCCCAAAACACAGTGTCCTGGATGTTAGCGGTTGCGCTAAGAGAAACAATCTGTTTGGCTTGTACTGAAGCCACATCCATAAAGCCAGTCAGCAGGGAATCTTTCTCTTTGAGTTCCTCTGAAAGTCGTCGGATGTCTTCCATAAGGTCAGCAATCTTCTTGTTCGCTTTCTTAAGGAGTGAGCAGTCCTCATGGGGCAGAGTTATCTCGGCTAGCATAGTCACCGGAGCTTTGTTGCGATCAGTAGCGTTGATCGCGTTTTTACGGTCATCTAGCTTAAAATCCATGTCGGATGGCTAAAATCCTTAACCCACGTAAAACTTAAGTTAAAAACTTAAGTTAAATAAAAAGGATATAAAAAATATAACGAAAAAGATGGATTAAAACTGGATAAGAGTTTGGTTTAAGACGGAGCTTCCGACAGGTGGCTACAGACACCAACGCATGCGCAGAGTGCAGATTACGTCAGCAATTACGTCAGAGATCTTGTGACCTTGTTGTGACCTTGATCTAATAAGATCTTGTGATCTTATTAGTACCAACACAGAGCACATGTGTGCAGACACAAACTCCATCAAAAGTCTCTACAGCTGTTAGAGCGAAACGGACGTCACTTTATGTGACGCTTCGGAGGAAAGGACATCTCTTGTCTCTAAAAACATATTTTCTTGGTCCTTCTCTCCTCGCTTGGTGGACGGGACTAAGACATAAGGAAAAGACGCAAGTGAGGGAAACGTGGATGCAATTAAGAGACTTGAGAAGCACCCTATCTCTCACAAGCCAATGCGCGGGTGGTGAAAGACCCACCCTCAGTGTGTCTTGGCTGTGTGTCATTGGCCCTCTTCAGCGGGGTGAGTGATTTGCACAACGGAGTAGTGGTGTTCTGTCCTCACAGGTGAGACTCAGAATCTGTGAAAAGACAGACCGGTATCTACCATAGGCAACCGGTTGTTGGGGAGGACATTGCACACTGACTGGGCCGGACTTCCCTGTGAGGGGTCAGAATAGTCCAGGTGTTTGGATGAGGCTGGTGGCCTGTGGCCGATTGTGTTGGTGAGGTGAGCTGTGGCTTGTTGCGACTGTGCGGACAGTCAGCCTGTGTGAGATAGAACGAAGATTACGACACAGGCGGAGCCTTCTCCAATGGAGCCTTGCCGCTCTGCCGTTGTCTGCTGAAGGGGTGGGCAGATGCTGAGCAGTGAGGACACTGCTATTTATACGGTACGCATGTACTATATGCGATAGGAGGAGAAGTAGTACCCATAGAGTCTGGTAGAAGTCTCCGCATGTGCCACTAGAGCTAGGGTTACCATATCGTAACCTTTGATAAGACAATTATAAAATGTTGAAGTGGCAGAGTCAGAGACCAAATCACAAGCCAATTGAGCGATCATTTTCTTGGCTCTTCATAATTATCTTGATTGTTTTCATGGTCATAATTTTTATTGCCATTCTCTATTTAGCTGAAAATAAGCATGGCATCAGAAATCAGGTGTTTGACAGATACCTAACAGAATCTTCTTTCTGATTATAAATGTATATTAAAAGCAGTCAATATTTGTTAAGCATGGACTCACCTGGTAGTGGGGAGGACGATCGATTTTCATACATTTCAAATTTAGATGTCTGATCCTAGTATTTTGTCACCCCATGCATGCCACTCACCTCCATGAAACCAGGAGGCTCAACTGGAACGCCAAACCAACCATTTTTATCCATCCTAAACATACATCAAACACCAAGCATCTAAATGAGCTCATATCATAAATACATTTTTCTATAATCACTATACATGGCTGCTTTTATTGCCATCCAGATATCTCTCATCTCATCCTACACTGCAGTCCGACCACAAGAAAGCTCAGCTCCAGCTCTGATCAGCTGTGTAACTGATATCACAAAACTCACAGACTTATTATCTGGATAATAATAACAATAACAACAGACGCACCAATATACATATGCAGTCACAACCATTTTCAGTCCAGAATCAGCTTGTGTTTGTGTTTAAAAATAGTTGCGGGTAACATCTTGGTATTGCACAATGCTTGTGAGGGCTTAGGTTTCGTTTTGGCCAGGGACTGAAGCAGAAAAGAAGTGTTGTTTTGGAACAGACTGTCTTTATTGTCTGCTGGCTGACCTGTAGTAGCTACTCAGACATCCAGTAAATGAAACAATTCGCCTGCTCAATATGAGAGATAAGAGATCGAGACCACAGCCCTATAGGATGTTCTGTTCTCAAGTTGTGGGCCTGTAAAGCATGGGAGTTCTTTTGGTCATAGGAATATAAATTAATATTCTGAATCAGAATTAGAAGGAGCTTTATTGCCAAGTAGTGTTTTACATATACAAGGAATTTGCTTTGGTGTTAAGGTGCTAAATGCAGACAGACATACAGCTGACATATATAGATGTAGAAATATATAAATATGTAATAAACAAATGCAAGTCATATCACTGTTTTTATCAATTTTTCAATGTTTTGGAAGCTTTATGTTATTTGGAATGGTGGAATGTTGTCAGGAATGGTGTTTTGATGAAAACTCACAACTCACAAACTCACATTCCTGGTATATTTTTGAAAAATTGTGTTATAACTGTTTTATATAGTTTATTTTCATAAAACTTATTCAAGGTGTATTAGAATATATTAAGTTGCATTATAATCTACAGAATGGTTTTATTGCATCTCCATTTACTCTTTAATAGCAAAATATTAACATTTACAGTTCCTTAGCTCCTGACCTGTTAAAGGAGACCAGAATTAAGCATCTAGGCGTAATGGTTGAGGAGTTATTCCTGATTCATTAAGAGGTTACGTAATTATTAGTGTAATTTGATAACTTCCCCATAACCTATAACTAAAATATGAGGTTGGCACAAATTTGAATTGAACTGAATCCACAAAGAAACACTAGAAATATATGGCTTCTAAACTGGTCAGTAGTAACACAGGATTTTCTTTGAGATGAATCCACATTATGCTATTAAGCTGTGCATAAATTTTATTCTTGTAGCAGAGCATACCCATGCGGTTGGAATTTTGAACAGAGGTGCGGAGCTACTTTGTCAGATGTGACAAAGTTACCCAAACTTGTTTTTCTAGATTACTGGCATTACCCAAGCAACTGCTAAATAATGAGTATAAGTATCAGTGATTCCCTGCCACACACAGGTAGAGGATGGTTCGGGCAAGCATTAAGTCAAAATCACTCTTGTTCTTTTATTACATTTGAGTTGCTATATATAAACTTATTTGCCAATTTATTAGATATACCTTGCTATAAATAATGGAGATTAATGCGTCACTCCTGCAATATATCCTACTTTCACTTTCACAGTCTTTCAGGTGCTGTTGGTTTGTATCATGTTATACTTCATATCTGCTAAATAATAAGGATGAGTACTGAGTCCCTGACACACACAAGTAGAGGATGGGGCAAGCATTAAGTCAAAATCACTCTTGTTCTTAGACTTAGTTGCCAGTTTATTAGGTATACCTTGCTACAAATAATGAAGATTAATACAATCTTATAATATTAAGTACCCGTATTGATATCAATGGGATGAGGATTAGAAATGCCTCTCAGTATGATGCAATGCAGTTCAACAGCACAACAAACTATAACTTCAACACTGACCATGAAATTTAATTAATGTTAAAACATTCATGAAGGTAGGATTCATTGCGGTTTTATTGGACTGGATTTGTTTTAGCTAGGTATACCTAATAAACTGGCAAGTGAGCGTTGAATGACATCAGTCTTCATATTTGTTCTGCATACTAAAATGTATTCAAAATGTATTTATAAGTATTTCTCAATATTTTGCAGGAGTTTGACACAGGGAGGATGGAGCCTCTCAGATTCCTTCTCCTATTAGCAGGTATTTGTTGGAGTTCATCTATCTGTGAGATTGTGGAAAACATGAATTGGACTGAATTTAGTTTTGATCATTGTGACATTTTCCCTACAGGACTAGTGGGAACAGCTACAACCAATGTCACAACAGGTAACATAATGATACTACTATACATCTTTAACGATAACACATTGTTTTCACATGATGTCAAAGGCAACCTATTATTTACTTTATTGGATGTCATCAAGTGTAGCTGGTAGAGTTGTCAATTTTGTCCAAACCAAGCCGCTTTCATTTATTAAAATATTTATATTACTTTTCATAAAATTAATGTGGGGATGAAGAAATACTTTTATTTAGGTTGATCTAAATCAGCAGGGTCAGAACTATTGACAATAATTGCTGAGCTCATTTGTTAGTTTGGTATAATAACCTCTAGACCATAGACTGAGTCCGTTGTGCCTCTTTGTACCTGTGGGTTGGTGCTCCTGTCTATGTCAGAGCCTCCGTGTAAGATGCTTCCATTGGTAAACGTGTGTTTTTAAAACTTATTTCGAATGCAGCTCACTCTGTAACAGCAACATACTGGTCAGGTGAAAGGTGTACAGTGTTTGTGCTCTGAAAGGCATCACTTTGCGGATACAAAGTCACCCAGCTGACGGAAATTAGACCTATTTTATCTATTCTAATTCCACCCAGGTAACACAGTCTCATCACTAGTCAACACCTGTCAATGCAAACTCACCACCTGTAAAAAAATAACCTCACCGCCAGACCACATGACCTCACCACCAGTCAATGCAACAGCAACACTAGTGAATGTTGCTTGGCCTACCTGAGTCCCATTTAATCCAGACCGGACATTAACCAAAAGCAGCTCCTCACAGCACCCGTCATGGTGCCGGGTCCAGTGGATCTGGCTGGGTGGATAATGTCAGGGGCAACTGCTCTTTTATCCAAACCAAAGCTTCCTTATGTGATTTCTGTCATAAGTATTTCAGAATCTTTATCCAGTCGATCTGAACAATTATGACTTAGCCAATCAAATCAAAATCTAACAGACATCATTCAATGATGTTTCAGCAATGAAGCCAAAAGAAATAACAGATTTAAACAAAAGTGTTAAACAACCCTAACATTTAATGATTTATGTTAAGGGGACTTGCTTTTTGTCCCCATGCGGAAGGTGAGTCCCCACAATGTCAGCAATGTGTGTGCATCTACATCCACCACCATTGCTATGATGTTGTCTAAAAGAAAATGTAAATGTGGTTTTATATCTTTGTTTGAAGCTAATGACTGAGGCTTGATCATTGGCAAATGAGTTTTAGCGAAGCATTGCACACACCGCCTGTTAAGAAAAAGGCGCACTGTATGTATGTGGAAACTCTCATTTCCATTCAAATAAAACGTCCCTATGCCCAAAGCATGCACCTCTTCAGGAGAGGGGTAATCAATTGAAGCATCTCACAGAAAAGGTTATTTTACTCACTCTTCATCACTTACATTTGATTGTATGAATGATATGCTATATACTGTTCCACCTTAAAGTAACTTCTGGAATAATAAAAAAGATATAAAATAACTGTATGTTATTATTCAAAATTAGCTGGACTGACAAGCTAAACTTTTATGTGTAACTAATTATTCTCGTTGCAGTGCAAACAACCTCACTGCCAGTAAACACGACTTCAGAGCCTCTCGACCTGACCGCAGAGACACTCTACATGACAACAGAGCCATTTAATACGACAGCAGAGCTACTCGATACGGCAGAGCCACTCGACACGACCGCAGAGCCGCTCGACACGACCTCAGAGCCATTTAATACGACCACAGAGCCACTCGACACGACCTCAGAGCAATTTAATACGACCACAGAGCCACTCGACACGACCGCAGAGCCACTCGACACGACCACAGAGCCACTCGACACGACCTCAGAGCCACTCGACATGACCTCAGAGCAATTTAATACGACCACAGAGCTACTCGATACGACAGAGCCACTTGACACGACCGCAGAGCCGCTCGACACGACCGCAGAGCCATTTAATACAACAGCAGAGCCACTCGACACGACCTCAGAGCAATTTAATATGACTGCAGAGCCACTCGACACGACCTCAGAGCCACTCGACATGACCTCAGAGCAATTTAATACGACCACAGAGCCACTCGACACGACCTCAGAGCAATTTAATACGACCACAGAGCCACTCGACACGACCTCAGAGCCACTCGACACGACCTCAGAGCTGCTCAACACAACCGCAGAGCCATTTAATACAACGGCAGAGCCACTCGACACGACCTCAGAGCAATTTAATACGACCACAGAGCCACTCGACACGACCTCAGAGCAATTTAATACGACCACAGAGCCACTCGACACGACCTCAGAGCCACTCGACACGACAACAGAGCCACTCGACACGACCTCAGAGCTGCTCAACACAACTGCAGAGCCATTTAATACAACGGCAGAGCCACTCGACACGACCTCAGAGCAATTTAATACGACCGCAGAGCCGCTCGACACGACCGCAGAGCCATTTAATACAACAGCAGAGCCACTCGACACGACCGCAGAGCCACTCGACACGACCGCAGAGCCGCTCGACACGACCGCAGAGCCGCTCGACACGACCGCAGAGCCACTCAACATGACCGCAGAGCCACTCGACACGACCGCAGAGCTATTTAATACAACAGCAGAGCCACTCAACACGACCGCAGAGCCACTCAACACGACCGCAGAGCCACTTGACACGACCATAGAGCCACTCGACACAACCGCAGTGACACTCAACACGACCGCAGAGCCATTTAATACAACAGCAGAGCCACTCGACACAACCGCAGTGACACTCAACACCACCGCAGAGCCATTTAATACAACAGCAGAGCCACTTGACACAACCGCAGTGACAATCAACGCGACCGCAGAGCCATTTAATACAACAGCAGAGCCACTCGACACAACCGCAGTGACACTCAACACGACCGCAGAGCCATTTAATACAACAGCAGAGCCACTCAACACGACCGCAGAGCCGCTCAACACGACCACAGAGCCACTCAACACGACCGCAGAGCCACTCGACACGACCATAGAGCCACTCGACACAACCGCAGTGACACTCAACACGACCGCAGAGCCATTTAATACAACAGCAGAGCCACTCGACACGACCGCAGTGACACTCAACACGACCGCAGAGCCATTTAATACAACAGCAGAGCCACTCGACACAACCGCAGTGACAATCAACGCGACCGCAGAGCCATTTAATACAACAGCAGAGCCACTCGACACAACCGCAGTGACACTCAACACCACCGCAGAGCCATTTAATACAACAGCAGAGCCACTCGACACAACCGCAGTGACAATCAACACGACTGCAGAGCCATTTAATACAACAGCAGAGCCACTCGACACAACCGCAGTGACACTCAACACAACATCAGCGCCACTTAACACGACCTTAGCACCAGTGAACACGACCTTGCTCCCAGTGAACACAACCTCACAACCATTCAACACAATCTCTGTGCCAGAGCCATTTAATACAACAGCAGAGCCACACGACACAACCGCAGTGACAATCAACACGACCGCAGAGCCATTTAATACAACAGCAGAGCCATTCGACACAACCGCAGTGACACTCAACACGACCGCAGAGCCATTTAATACAACAGCAGAGACACTCGACACAACCGCAGTGACACTCAACACGACCACAGAGCCACTTAACACGACAACAGAGCCACTCGACACAACCGCAGTGACAATCAACACGACCGCAGAGCCATTTAATACAACAGCAGAGCCACTCGACACAACCGCAGTGACACTCAACACGACCGCAGAGCCACTTAATACAACAGCAGAGCCACTCGACACAACCGCAGTGACACTCAACACGACCGCAGAGCCATTCAACACAACCGCAGAGCCACTCGACACAACCGCAGTGACACTCAACACAACAACAGAGCCACTCAACACGACCTTAGCACCAGTGAACACGACCTTGCTCCCAGTGAACACAACCTCACAACCATTCAACACAATCTCTGTGCCAGAGCCATTTAATACAACAGCAGAGCCACTCGACACAACCGCAGTGACAATCAACACGACCGCAGAGCCATTTAATACAACAGCAGAGCCACTCGACACGACCGCAGTGACACTCAACACGACCGCAGAGCCATTTAATACAACAGCAGAGCCACTCGACACGACCGCAGTGACACTCAACACGACCACAGAGCCATTTAATACAACAGCAGAGCCACTCGACACAACCGCAGTGACACTCAACACAACATCAGCGCCACTTAACACGACCTTAGCACCAGTGAACACGACCTTGCTCCCAGTGAACACCACCTCACAACCATTCAACACAATCTCTGCGCCAGTGAACATGACCTTCTTGCCAGTCACCATGACCGCTCTACCAGTGAACACAACCTCACTGCCAGTGAACACAACCTCAGAGCCACTCAACGCAACCTCACCACCAGTCACATTGACCTCACTGCCACTCATCACAACCTCATTGCCACTCAACATGACCTCAGGGCCACTCAGCATCACCTCACCACCAGTCACCACCACCTTGCTACCAGTGAACACAACCTTACTGCCAGTGAACACAACCTCAGGGCCACTCAAAACAACCTCACCACTATTCATCACAACCTCGCTGCCACTCAACATAACCTCAGTGCCACTCAAGACGACCTCACTACCTGTGAACATGACCTCTGCACCAGTGGACACGACGTCACTACCAGTCACCCCAACCTCGCTACTAGTGAACACGACCTTGCTACTAGTGAACACAACCTCACTGCCACTCAGCAGTACCTCTGCACCACTCAGCACAACCTCGCTACCAGTCAATGTGACGTCACCACAACTCAATGTAACCTCAACACAAGTCGGTACAATCTCAGTCCAACCCATCTCCACCATGTCAAACCCAGGTAAACAAAGTCTCCCACACTTAATACCCCACTATGAGTTGATGCAGATGATGCAAAGAACATAATTGTAAACTTGTAATATTTGATACCTCTTAATATACTTCTAGGCAGTGCAACGTCTCCACCCATAAATGGAACATCAGCTCAACTAGATCTCACAAGTAGTGTTCTGGTGACAACAGCTCCTCTTAATGCTACAGCTGGCACTACTGCTGCCACAACTACAGTGCTCAGTGAAACAGCCACTTCCACTGCTGCACCAGTTACTTCAACCACCACTGCATCAACAAACCCACCTTCATCCAGTGAAGGAACCCTAGGTCTTCATTTTAGACTCAGACGAATGTTTACACCGGATCTCTCCAACTCATCCTCAGCAGCGTACCAGAAATTAGCCACATCAGTGGTCAACGTGGTAAAATGCCCATACAGTCTCACTGCATACTTTTTACTCCAAAATCATTCTATGATCATCATGCGCTGAGGGGCAAATTCACAAAAGGATTGCACAGCTTTTCAAATGCATAGCAGGACGAAAGAGAACAGACACTAGCACAATGCAAGTTCCACATAGAGATTTAACATAATAGTAATGTTAGATGTATTAATATTGAATTTAATTCAATTCAATTTTATTTATATAGCGCCAAATCACAACTGTAGACTAAATGACTAAATGAAAAATGGTAAAGATATGTATAGTAGTGTTAATGATTATAATAACAATAATAACAATAGGACTAGTAACAATAGTTGTTGTAGCAGAATGTGTCGAGCAGGAACACGGGGGCAGCAGGTTACTCGCAGCTCCAGAGCCAGAAACACCTGCAGGAAGTGATAGGAGGAGAGAGGAGAGGGACGAGAAAGCACAAGACTACCGGAAAGGGGAGACGTTGTGTTAGTAACATGCAATAATAGGTATCTGGAAGACTTCTTCCAGTATCTTCAACCAAGTCCAGTTGCCCTTGATTTTAACCTTCGTTGGATAACTATGACCTGGATGACTGAGAATCTTCATAGACATGCAATAATAGGATGAGGTTGCATACAGAGGGAGAGAAAGTAGAGGAGAGAGGGGCTCAGTGCATCATAGGAAATCCCCCGGCAGTCTAGGCCTATAGCAGCATAACTAAGGGATAGTTCAAGACTCACCTCGGCCAGGTAAGATCTATAAGCTTTATCAAAGAAGAAAGTCTTAAGCCTACTCTTAAATGTGGAGATGGTGTCTGCCTCCTGAACCCAAACTGGAACCTGGTTCCACAGGAGAGGAGCTTGATAGCTGAACACTCTGGCTCCTAGTCTACTTTTGGAGACTCTAGGAACCACAAGTAACCCTGTATTCTGGGAGCGCAGTGCTCTTTGAGATAAGATGGTGCCTGACCATTAAGAGCTTTGTAGGTAAGAATAATGATTTTAAATTATATTCTGGATTTTACTGGAAGCCAATGCAGAGAAGCTAAGACAGGAGAAATGTGATCTGTGTTCCCATGTTCCTGTCAGAACACGTGCTGCAGCATTCTGGATCAGCTGAAGAGTCTTAATGGACTTTTTCGAGCAGCCTGATAATAAAGAATTGCAGTAATCCAGCCTAGAAGTAACAAATGCATGGACTGCATCATTTTTAGACCGAATATTGCTGATTTTCGCAATATTACATAGATGAAAAAAGGCAGTCCTTGAAATTTGCCTAATGTGAGAATTAAACGACATGTCCTGATCAAAGACAACTCTAAGATTCCTCACAGTGGTGCTGGAGGCCAGGGCGCTGCCATCAAGGGAAACTATATCTTTAGATAATGCGTCATGGAGGTGCTTAGGCCCCAGAACAATAACTTCAGTTTGATCTGAGTTTAACATTAGAAAATTACAGGTCATCCAGGTTTTAATATCCTGAAGGCACATTTGAAGTTTAGGTAACTGATGAGTTTCATCTGGCTTGATCGATAGATATAACTGAGTATCATCTGCATAAAACTGAAAGTTTATGGACTATTTCCTGATAATATTGCCAAAGGGAAGCATATATAAAGTGAAGAGGATTTCTGAGGACAGATCCTTGAGGAACTCCATGACTAACTTTGACGTGCACGGAGGACTCATCGTTAACATGTACAAACTGAAATCGATCTGATAAATAGGACTTAAACCAGCTCAGAGCGGTTCCTTGAATGCCAATGAAATGTTCCAGTCTCTGCAATAGGATCTGATGGTCAATGATATCAAATGCAGCACAAAGATCTAATAAAACCAGTACAGAGTCCTTTGTCTGAAATATGGAGGTAGTTAGTAATTTTCACCAGTGCTGTCTCTGTGCTATGATGAACTCTAAATCCTGACTGAAAATCCTCAAATAAACTATTGCTCTGTAGAAAGTCACACAGCTGTTTAGCAACTGCTTTCTCCAGGATCTTAGAGAGAAATGTAAGGTTAGATATAGGTCTATAGTTGGCTAAAACATCCGGATCAAGTTTGGGCTTTTTCAGAAGAGGTTTAATTACAGCTTATTTTAAAGTACTATGGTACATAGCCTGTTGATAGAGATAGGTTGATCATATCTAGTATAGAAGTGCTAACTAAGGGTAAAACTTCTTTAAGCAGCCTAGTCAGGATGGGGTCTAAGAGGCAGGTTGATGGTTTAGATGAAGAAATTATTGAAGTTAGTTGGTAAAGGTTGAGGGAAGCAAAACAGTCTAAACATATATCTGGTTCTACAGCTGTTTCTAAGGTTCCTGAGTTTAGAGATAAGTTGGTGCCAGTTAAGGGCAGGTCTGGGTGAATTTTGTTTCTAATAGTTAGAATTTTATGAAGTCGTAACTACTGAGAGCTATGGGAATACTTGGCTCAATAGAGCTGTGACTCTCTGTCAGCCTGGCTACAGTGCTGAATAGAAACCTGGGTTTGTTCCTATTTTCCTCTATTAATGATGAGTAGTACGCTGCTCTGGCATTACGGAGGACCTTCCTATAAGTTTTAAGACTATCTTGCCAAATTAAACGAGAATTTTCCAGTTTGGTGGAACGCCAATTCCTCTCAAGTTTAGATATTTGCTTTAATTTGCGAGTTTCAGTATTATACCATGGAGCTAACCGTCTTTGTTTTATTATTTTCTTTTTTAGAGGGGCTACAGAGTCGAGTGTCATTCAACAAGATGATCAATTTGGGAGGGACTGAAATTAGCATAGTCCTCTGTTACTTTGTTACTTGATAATGAATTTAGAGCTGATGGAATCGCATCCTTAGATTTAGCTACAGCACTATCAGACAGACATCTTGTATAGAAATTTTTGCCCAATGGCGATACAAACTCAGAAGTTATCAAACAGTGGTCAGATAAAGAGGGATTCTGTGGGAACACTATTAAATGTTCAATTTCAATACCGTATACCAAAACAAGGTTGACGGTGTGGTTAAAACAGTGAGTCGGTTCATGAACACTCTGAACACTCTGAGAGAGGCCAATGGAATCTAACAGAGAGATAAACGCAGTACTGAAGCTGTTATTCTCTACATTCACATGAATATTAAAATCCCCTACAATAATAACGTTGTCCGTTTTAAGGACTAAAGTTGACAAAAACTCTGCAAATTCAGATAAGAATTCTGAGTACGGACCAGGTGCTTGGTACACTTTAACGAAAAGAATTGGTTGCAGTGATTTCCAACTTGGTGTGAAAGACCAAGAACAAGGCTTTCAAATGAGTTATAATTTAGTTTAGGTTTAGAGCTGATTAGTAGGCTGGAGTCGAAGATAGCTGGAACTCCACCTCCTCGGCCTGTGCCTCGAGGAATGTGAGTATTAATATGACTGAGAGGGGTTCTCCATCATCCAGCCAGGTTTCAGTAAGACAATCAATCAATATCATAATCTGATATTAGTTCATTTACTAGTACACCTTTAGAAGAGAGAGATCTGATGTTTAAGAGTCCACATTTAATTTTCCTATTGTTTTGCACTATTGCTCTTGTGGTTTTAATTTTTATGAGGTTTTTATGCACAGCTCCTCTTCTATTTACCTTTGATTTAAATAATTTCAATGGTCGGGGGGCAGACACCGTCACTATAGGATTTTCACTAAGTAACTCCTGAAATGGAGGAGCAGAGAAGTGTGTTAGACTGCGACTCTGCGTAGGGTTTTGGGTGGGTAACAGCTGAAATAGAAGGGCAGAGAAGTGTGTTAGACTGCGACTCTGCCTCCTGGTCTCAACTCTGGGTTGTCATGGATACAAATATATAAAATAAATGACAGTGATAATAATAATTGTGGCAGTGGGTGTTGAGTAGGAACATATTATATAGACTATTTGCATGAATTTAAATTATGTATGGCGAATATTCACACATTTGGTGCAAAATTGGCCCTTTTCTATGCAAATTCACGAACACCAGCACTAATAACCACACACAGAGTGAAATTATTAGCGTCTTTAGAGTTGGTGGTAACTGAAGTGCATTTATAAGGTGTGTCACGGCCAGACTTTACTGTGATCATGGCAGTGATGATTGTAACCAGGTGAAGCAATAGTACATAAAGGCACAGACAGTTCAATACCTAATATTGACCAAGATGGAATGAAACTGGAAAACAACATAAAACTTACTGCTGTGAGAAGCATAGATGATTGTTGCGCACAGTCCAGCACAGGGCAGAGTAAAGAAAATGGCTCTCCATGAGGTCGAGCGCACAGTTAAAGCATCCGAAATAACAATCACTCTGACAAAACTCTCAATACAGACAGCAAAAAGAAACAAATTAAAGAGCATGGGGAGTTAAGAGAAAATTAGAATAGTTATTGTAATTAGAATACATTCTCTTTCAAAACAAACATTTAAATATATGAGTTGATAGTTTTGTTATTACAGCTGCAATTATAACATTTCTTGACTCAAGCGTTGCTTAACCATGTCATGTGATACCTGTGTTACCCGAGTACACAAGAACAAACATTATTAGGACTACTACAGAAAACTGCAGATGAACATTTAACAGACACAGAACAAGGGCAAATTGCACTTAGCTGCAAAACCTTATGGGCGTATTTGCGCTGTAATATCACAAGTGCATTATCTTTTGTGAATCAGACCTTGAGACAGGGTTAGACAGATAGCTTTGCAAGTGATGCATAATTCCTGGTGCTATCAGTGGCCGCAGTCCATTCTTTGTGAATTGGCCCCTGAACATACTCATGTTGCTAATATTCTTGCATTGATGTAGATCATAATTTTGTCCACATAACTGTCATTGAAATGTTATTATTCTTGAAATAGACTACCTTTCATTCCTTTATTAATTAATTTGCCCAATATTTTGGTACTGTAGTAGATTCTGAAATTTTGTATCATTTATAATGTATGTATAACATTTTATATGTACAGAAGATGACAAACGTATGACGGCATATTAGGGCGATTGTAGGTTAAAAAAATGTTTTAATCAATTTAATTAATGACTGAAAAGCATTCTCGTGAATTTAAGACTTTAGTCTCAGAGAATGCTGAAAGTTTTTTTATTGTAAATTAACAACTTTGATCTCAGGAATTCTTCTCTAAATATTACTCACTTGCGCAACTCAGTAATTTAAAATAAATTATAATGGCCCTAATAAGCCATCGTGCATATGTATGAGATCTATCTGCCTCCAAAACAAACAGAACAAAATGTGTTGTAAGCCATTAAATTGAAAAGTAACAGTAATGTTTTCTTTCAGATAAACATGGAATGTGCAAAGCTATTTGGACCATCTTTCAGTCGCTCCCTCATCAACTCATTCAAGTAAGACAAAATGTCGATCACTGACAAACCTTTGCTAGACACGTGTTGTTGACTTGCTTTAAAAAAGTGTTGCTTTCTCTCTGTCATTGTAGGAATGGATCAGTAGTTGTTGACTCGACCCTTGTATTCGCAAATCAAAGCTCAGTTCCTCCACCAAGCAATGCAACTTCACAACTCAGGATTGCACTCAACTTTACATCTCTGGACATAATACTAGACAGCATTAATATAAGTAAGTAATTTAAGAAATACAAATTAAAATGAATCTATCAATCTATTTAAATGATTTTATTTAAATTAACTGCATGTTACAGTGTTATATTAATTGATAAACCATTGGTATTGGTACAGCTGCTTCTCCTGCTGCTTCCACCGCTGCACCTAATGTTACAGCTGCCCCTATGACAGCTGCCCCAACTGCAACTCCTAATGCTACGGAATCTCCTACTGCTGCCCCGACAGCAGCTCCCAGCATTACAGCAGCTCCAACTGCAGGTCCAAATGCTACAGCTACCCCTACCCCGACAGCAACTCCTAATACTACAGCTGCCCTGACAGTGGCTCCCAACATTACAGCGGCTCCAACTACAGCTCCTAATGCTACAGCTACCCCGACAGCAGCTCCTAATACTACAGCTGCCCTGACAGTGGCTCCCAACATTACAGCGGCTCCAACTACAGCTCCTAATGCTACAGCTACCCCGACAGCAGCTCCTAATACTACAGCTGCCCTGACAGTGGCTCCCAACATTACAGCGGCTCCAACTACAGGTCCTAATGCTACAGCTACCCCTACCCCTACCCCGACAGCAGCTCCTAATACTACAGCTGCCGTGACAGTGGCTCCCAACATTACAGCGGTTACAACTACAGGTCCTAATGCTACAGCTACCCCTATTGCAGCTCCTAATGCTACAGCTACCCCTACCCCTACAGCAGCTCCTAATACTACAACTGCCCTGACAGTGGCTCCCAACATTACAGCGGCTCCAACTACAGCTCCTAATGCTACAGCTACCCCAACAGAAGCTCCTAATACTACAGCTGCCCTGACAGTGGCTCCCAACATTACAGCGGCTCCAACTACAGCTCCTAATGTTACAGCTACCCCAACAGAAGCTCCTAATACTACAGCTGCCCTGACAGTGGCTCCCAACATTACAGTGGTTACAACTACAGGTCCTAATGCTACAGCTACCCCGACAGCAGCTCCTAATGCTACAGCTACCCCGACAGCAGCTCCTAATGCTACAGCTGCCCTGACAGTGGCTCCCAACATTACAGCGGCTCCAACTGCAGCTCCTAATGCTACAGCTACCCCGACAGCAGCTCCTAATACTACAGCTGCCGGGACAGTGGCTCCAAACATTACAGCGGTTACAACTACACCTCCTAATGCTACAGCTACCCCGACAGCAGCTCCTAATACTACAACTGCCCTGACAGTGGCTCCCAACATTACAGCGGCTCCAACTACAGCTCCTAATGCTACAGCTACCCCGACAGCAGCTCCTAATGCTACAACTACCCCGACAGCAGCTCCTAATACTACAGCTGCCCTGACAGTGGCTCCCAACATTACAGCGGCTCCAACTACAGCTCCTAATGCTACAGCTACCCCGACAGCAGCTCCTAATACTACAGCTGCCCTGACAGTGGCTCCCAACATTACAGAAGCTCCAAATACAGGTCCTAATGCTACAGCTACCCCTATTGCAGCTCCTAATACTACAGCTGCCGTGACAGTGGCTCCCAACATTACAGCGGTTACAACTACAGGTCCTAATGCTACAGCTACCCCTATTGCAGCTCCTAATGCTACAGCTACCCCTACCCCTACAGCAGCTCCTAATACTACAACTGCCCTGACAGTGGCTCCCAACATTACAGCGGCTCCAACTACAGGTCCTAATGCTACAGCTACCCCTACAGCAGCTCCTAATACTACAGCTGCCCTGACAGTGGCTCCCAACATTACAGCGGCTCCAACTACAGCTCCTAATGCTACAGCTACCCCTATTGCAGCTCCTAATGCTACAGCTACCCCTACAGCAGCTCCTAATACTACAGCTGCCCTGACAGTGGCTCCCAACATTACAGCGGCTCCAACTACAGCTCCTAATGCTACAGCTACCCCGACAGCAGCTCCTAATACTACAGCTGCCCTGACAGTGGCTCCCAACATTACAGTGGTTACAACTACAGGTCCTAATGCTACAGCTACCCCTATTGCAGCTCCTAATGCTACAGCTACCCCTACCCCTACAGCAGCTCCTAATACTACAACTGCCCTGACAGTGGCTCCCAACATTACAGCGGCTCCAACTACAGCTCCTAATGCTACAGCTACCCCAACAGCAGCTCCTAATACTACAGCTGCCCTGACAGTGGCTCCCAACATTACAGCGGCTCCAACAGCAGGTCATAATACAACAGCTGGCACTACTGCTGTCACGACTACAGTTACCAGTGAAACAACCATTTCCACTGCTGCACCAGCTATTTCAACCACCACTGCATCAACAAACCCACCTTCATCCAGTGAGGGAACCCTGGGACTTCATTTTAGACTCCAAAAAATATTTACACTGGATCTCTCCAACTCATCCTCAGAAAAATACAAGAATTTAGCCACATCAGTGGTCATCGTGGTAAAATGCCCATACAGTATCACAGCACACTTTTTACTCCAAAAACATTCTCTGATCATCATGCACACTGAGGGCTGAATTCACAAAAGGATTGCGCAGCTTTTCAAATGGGTAGCAGGAGGAAAGAGAACAGACAGTAGCACAATGCAAGTTCCACATAGAGAGTTAACATAGTAATGGTAGAGGTAATAATACAAATAAATAACAATAATGATAATAATAACTAGAACTGCAAGCAGTTGTAAGCAGGGTACAACCCCCTGGCGCTAGCCAAGTGGGGGGCTGCTCGAATCGACCTGGCGCCCCACCGGGGGCCCGCAGTGAATAAATGACCAGAGTTTGAAATTAAAGGCACTTGCGGTTACGGAGATATGAAATGAATGTATATGTCTACGGGAGTGTTATTTGATATCCAATTAATAGCGCCACCTACAGGCGGATTGACACCAAATTCCATACAGCCCCTCAGGAAGACATGCCAGATAAGGTCCCCAAGTTTGTTGTAGATCAGCCGAGATATGACATGATTTTCTGTTATTAGCGTTTTGCGTATCATGTATCAATCTGGGGAGCACAAGCTTGTGTCAACTTTGTCCAGAGATGGTCGGTGCCAAGTTTGGTGCCGATCAGACCTGTGGTTTCGGAGGAGTTAATTAAAATAGGTTTTTCAGTTGTGGCGATGTTGCAAAAAAAACATCTTTGCACAGAGGCGTATCCTATCCCATATGATTCGGCAGCATGACCCAAACACATAGACATAGGTTAATGAATGTGCGATGTACTGGCGTGTAGTTATGAGGCAAAATGTCCCTTGATTCAAAAATTCATTCAAATGAATAGGATTTTCCCATGGTATTTCTGCTTCGATAATAGCGCCACCATTTGGCCGAATTGCACCAAATTTATCAGGTGACATCAGGGGCCCATGGGGAATAAATGACACATAATTTGTATCAATCAGACGTTTGGTTATAGAGGAACTCTATTTAAATGAGCCTTATTGCAAAAAAAGTCTAATTCACAAACACCAGCACCAATAAACACACACAGAGGGAAATTCTTAGTGTCTTCAGAGTTGGTGGTAACTGAAGTACATTTATAAGGTGTGTCACGGCCAGACTTTCCTTTGATCATGGCAGAGGTGATTGTAGCCAGGCAAAGCAATAGTACATCATAAGGGCACAGACAGTACAGATAAAATGAAACTGGAAACAACATAAAACCTACTGCTGTGAGAATCATAGATGATGGTTGCACAGTCTAGCACAGAGCAGAGTAAAGAATATGACTCTACATCAGGGCCGGCCTGTGGCATAGGTGACATAGGCAGTTGCCTAGGACACAAAATGTCAGGGGATGCCTGAAGAGAATGTTTTCGACTGCACAGATCAACTCCGCCCAGCTGATGTGAAGCTGTGATAGTAATCAGGTGCACCTCACGCTGTGAGTCCAGTCCAGACAGTTGTGACAAGTGGTAACGTAACAATATAAACATCTAAAAACTGAGCAGCAACGTTGCTCTATTTGGGACTGTGAGCTGCACTTTACTGGAGCTGCTAAAGTAACATGTGTGAGGATTTCTAGTGATATTTCTGCCTGGTATCTGTTTTTGGTTGATTTTGGTTTCACATGCAGCATGCAGTCCCAAACTGTGTCGATCAAACGGTCTAAAGAGGATATCTTACTACCAGCGGAACAGTAACGTAATGCACATGAGAGTAGGCTGTAGTGCAGGTTGACTTAAAAATATTGTGAATTCTCATTAAATGACGACGTTAGTCTCAGTAGCATAAGGTAGTAATGACCCAGTGCAGACTGATATGACGGGCCCTTGGGCTACACAGTTACCAAGCACACACGCACACACTACGTTCGTGTCTAGAAGGGAACCCTATATTGGCAAATTTGTGTGCCTTGTTTCCTTGTTTTGAACAGTTTAACAACTGATAAGATTAGATGCTGTAAATACCTAACCTACTTAATTTAAAGCGCCTTAAATCGAATTCTTTCCATATTAAATTCAACAGTTGTCCTTGTGTGTGTCTCTCTCCAACACACACACTCTGCTGCTTCTGTGTTGCATGCGTCTGGAGACAACAGTCTAAAGTACCATCATGTAATGGATTTTAGAGTCAGACTGTGTCAACTAGACTTTTGTATTTGCAAAGTAGGCTAAAAGAGTCAAAGAGAAAGTTATAAGGGGCATGGCCAGTGCTGTCAATGTCAAAATCCTGAAACGTCACCACAAACAGAGTGCAGGAGGTATCCACTTTTACAGGCAATTTCAGTACAATAACCTCCCTATCACGGCAACCACATTCCTCTTCGACCATATCCTACACCATGTCCTGAAAACAGGCCAGCTATGGCGCACACAGTTTAATACCCCCCCCAAAAAAGCACATGTAAAGTTAATACCAAAGAAAATAAGACTAAATTTATTCTGTAGAATGTATTTTTTATACTTCACTATATACCTTATAGCCTACTGCTTGCTACAGACTTTTGTGGGTAAATCTACTGTGAGTAGTTTTTTGTAACTGACAAAGTCCAGCTGAGTCCAGCAGGGATTTTATTAAATTTGAAAGTTGATCTACAGGAGAAAACATATTTAAAAGCAATTTCAAATCTTGCCTAGGGCTCTTTCACTGTCAAGGCCAGCCCTGCTCTCCATAAGGTGGAGCGCACAGTTAAAGCATCCCAAATAACAATCACTCTGACAAAACACTCAGTAAGAGAAGTTTATAATTAGGGGTTCAAGCCTGAGAAGGGCATGAGAATCCACGAATACAAGGCCCAGAACCAGCAGGACCGGGAACCCTATTGTAATCATATTTGTTTTTATTATTATTCTTCTGTAAATAAACTCACGCAAACAACGAGGGCGCGTAAAAACCTATTTTCATTAACTCCTCCGAACCAACAAGTCCGATCGGGACCACACTTGGCAAGGACCATCTCTGGATGAAGCTGGTAACAGCTTGTTAGGGAAGTTTTGATCAAATTATAAGCTAATAAATGTTTGCGTGAAACACAAAAAACAGGAAGTGATGTCATATCTTACGTTTGTATGGAATGGAAACTTGGTGACCTTATGTGGCATGTACTCCTGAGGGGCTGTGTAATTGGTGCAACTACCTCCTAGCTGGCGCTGTGTAACAGCAATTACCTCTTCCTCTATAACCACAAGTCGCATTGACATAAAACTTCAGCCGAATTGTTCAGGATGTTCTACTGACTCCAATGATAATAATAATAATAATACATTTTATTTGTTATGCACTTTACATTTAAGACAAACCTCAAAGTGCTACAGGTAAGATCATAAAAGCAAGGTAAAAACATCAGTGTAAAATATAGATAAATAGTGCAACGACATTATTGTGCAAGGTTACAAGTCATAAGTTCTTCTAAAAAGAAATGCTTTTAGTCCTTTTTTAAAAGTCTCAATTGTCTGTGGTGCCCTCAGATGGTCAGGGAGGGCATTCCAAGTCCGAGGAGCGGTAGAGCAGAAAGCACGATAACCAATGGTGCTGAGCTTCGTTCTGGGGAGTAGGATGCAGTTTGAGTTTTTGTACGTATCGTGTTGTAGTGAGAGGGGTGAGTAGCTCTTTCAGGTGTGTGTGTGTGTGTGTGTGTGTGTGTGTGTTGGGGGGGGGGCATTTCCATATATGCACTGGTGGGTGAGAAGTGAGACCTTGTATTCAATCCTAGCAGATACGGGAAGCCAGTGAAGTGAATGGAGAATGGGTGTGATGTGGTCGTACTTTCGCACTCTCATCAGGATCCTTGCAGCACTGTTCTGAACATTCTGCAGACTCTTGTTAGGGATCCCAATGAGAAGTGTGTTACAGTAATCCAATCTAGAGGAGACAAAGGCGTGGACCAGTTTTTCAGCATCAGCTAAGGTGAGTGTAGAATGGAGTTTTGCAATATTTCTGAGATGATAGGAGATCTTGCAGAGGTTTTTGATATGGGCTTCAAAGGTGAATTTTGGATCAAATCTTACACCAAGATTGGTGACTGTTGTGGAGAGGGGAATGTATTCACCAGAGATAGTTATACCAGTTATGGAAGATGAAATGTAAATGCTCCATATTTGTATAGCGCCTTTCTAGTCTTTTTGACCACTCAAAGCGCTTTTACACTACATCTGCATTCACCATTCACACACATTCATACATTGGCGGAACCAGAGGCAATTCGGGGTTCAGTATCTTGCCCAAGGACACTTCAACATGCAGCCTGGGGGAGCCGAGGATTGAACCGCCGACTTTCCGATTAACGGCCAACTACCTCGAACGCTCCTGAGCCACAGCCGCCCCTGAACTTGATGTGAGGTGCCAACAACAATTGCCAACAACAATTGCCTCAGTTTTGGAGCTATTCAATTGGAGGAAGTTGTGTTTTATCCACACCTTTATCTCCTCCAGACAGGTGGTGAGTGTTGAAGACGATGTTAATGTTGGTGAAGCTGCAGTGGGGTGTGGGTCAGATTTCATGTACAGTTGTGTGTCATCAGCATAACAGTGAAATGAGACTCCATGGCGACTGATGACGTGGTTGAGGGGGAGGATGTAAATGATGAAGAGGATGGGGCCAGGAATTGACCCCTGGGGGACTCCGCAGGTGACTGTGTGTTGCCGGGACCTTGCGCTTCTAAGTGAAAGGTAGTGAAACTGTTCTGTCAGTGAGGTACGATGTAAACCAGTTCAGAGCAGTGTCAGAATCCAGTGGTTTGGTGTAGCTGGTTGAGAAGTATGCCATGATCCACAGTGTCAAAAGCAGCAGACCGATCAAGGAGTATGAGGGAAGGTGAGCCAGCATCAGCTGCCATTCGTAGGTCGTTTGTGACTCTAACCAGGGCTGTTTCAGTGCTGTGAGCGGAAACCAGATTGGAATTTTTCAAAAAGGTTGTTATGTTTGAGATGGTCCTGGAGATGGGCGGCAACAACTTTTTCCAGTACTTTGGAGAGGAATGGGAGATTGGAAATGGGCCTATAATTTGTAAGTGCGGAGGAATTCTGCTGCAAAACGGCAGGTGGAGGAGTTAACATGAATATTTATATCTCCAAGGACTATGATATTGGCAGATATTGTACAGAATGTTGAGAGAAGGTTGGACATCTCTGGGATGAAAGATGAGTTTGGTTTGGGTGGCCGGTAGATGAGAAGTATCGATGTAGAGAGAGGAGGCTTACATTTAAATGCAAGGCATTTGAAAGAAGACAGTTCAGGCAGGGGAACAAGCCCAGATCACTTCGGTGGATGACAGCCAGACCACCTGTGCTGCGGGCTTTCTGTCAGTAGCAGTAGCCAGTATCTGGTTGGTGCCAGGTTTCTGCAAAACACATCAAATCCAAACACTTATCCAGAATATGGTCATGTATGAGGCAAGATTTGTTTGTGATGGATTGTGCATTAAACAGTTCAATCTTGATGGTAGATGGAGCAGTGTGTCTCTGTATTGGCCGGAGTAGACTGAAATCCACTCCAAGTGTTGCCGTGGAACCTCCAGCGTTACTAGTCCTAGCAGTGGCAGCGCCCTGATGACGTGTTGGAGATGCGACGGGGCGTGCGCCAGACCAGAGGGTTGGGATGTTGCGATCAGACCGGGAGAAAAAAAACTTTCGGCCGCAACTTCTGTGAATGTAACACGGCCGGCGAAGAAGTCCAAGTTGTTTAATGACCGATATGCACGATGGAGTGACGTAGTTTTTGAATTTCTTCAGTTGGGTGACGGAATACACTTCCACATCATGCCAGTCGGGGAGAGTGGTCTGTTAGGCGTTAGCAATGCCCGTGATGCACAGAAGAAAGCCATCAGACACCGTAAGCAAACAGCAGTGACTTTGGGTCGAGACCTCATGAATATCAGCAGTGACTTCGGGTGAAAGTTTCTCTATAGCAGGCAGTGATGAATAGATACGGGAAACTCAGAGCAATGGTAAACTGGTAGGTAGACATCCGCTGGAGTCGGCGGAATCCGTACAGAACACATACAATCCACAATGTTTGGGAACAAGTGAGCAACATTGCAACGACACTAATATAACTTACTGGTCGATAAACGTACTGTATAGCGTACTGCCTAACTAGCCTAGTTGTATAGCAACGATTGTTGCACAAAGGATTTCGGTCAGACAACGCCAGCGTCCTCTCCAACCAACTGTCAAAGGTATCTCCTCAGTAGTAGACAACCATCGGAGGAGGAGGGTGACACTCTGGAGGTCTGCTATGTAACTGTAGTCCTCCTGCACCTTCAATCACTCCAGGGACCTAAGTTGACCCTAATATGGTCATAGGTGGTGCTGTTATTGTACATTAAAGGCATTTTTTTTTATCCCATTAACTTACATTAATTTCATATGTCCATAACCACAAGTCCGATTGACACCAAGTTGGGTAATTTATTCCCCATCGGCCACAGATGACACTTGAAAAATTTCGTGCACTTCGGCCTATAGTTGGGGCTATAGTCCAATGGACACCAAACTTGCCACAGACCATCTCTGGACAAAGTTGATAAAAGTTTGTTTCTGATTCGCAAAAAAATGTGTGATTTATAAACTAACATTTTTTACGCCAAATGCAAAAAACAGGAAGTGATGTTATTTCTTAGGTTAGGGAAGTCTGATCTACACCAAACTTGGGAACCTTATGTGTCATGCCTTCCCGAGGGGCTGTATGAAATTTATTGTCAATCGGCCTCTAGTTGGCGCTGTTAATCGATATGAAATGACCATCCCATAGACATACATTAATTTTATATCTCTGTAACCACAAGTGCCTTTAATATGAAATTTATATTTATAATTTAATATGAAACTATGTTATTCCAATACATAGGATTTTCTCATTACACTGGTAATCTCGTTCATCGCTCCAAAGGCTCCCCTTGTCATCCCCGGGGCAGCCAGGTCGACTTGCGCGGTCTCCGCAGGGCAAGGCGCACGGCTGGCGTCTGGAGGCTTGGACCCCATTTACAACTGCTTGCAGTTCTAGTAGTTATTGTAATAAGAGTATATTCTCTTTCAAAACAAACATTTAAATATGAGCTGATAGTTTTGTTCTTGACTCAAGCATTGCTTAACCATGTCATATGATATGGTACTTCAGTACACAGAACAAATATTATTAGAACTACTACAGAAAACTGCAGATGAACATTTAACATACACAGAACAAGGGCAAATTGCACTCAGCTGCAAAACTTTATGGGAATGTTTGCGCTGTAATATCATTAGTGCAATATCTTTTGTGAATCAGACCTCGAGACAGGGCAAATAGCACTGCAAGTGATGCACAATTCATGGTGCTTTCAGAGGCTGCAGTCCATTTTTTGTGAATTGGTCGCTGAACATACTCATGTTGCTAACATTCTTGCATCGATGTTTATCAAAATTTGGTAATTCTATTTGTCCACATAGAGTATCTCACAAAAGTGAATACACACCTCACATTTTTTTTAAATATTGGATTATATCTTTTCATGTGACAAATCTGTTGTCCCCTCAAACTAACATCCCTGTGCCGTTAATGTCTAAACCCCTGGCAACAAAAGTGAGTACACCCATAAGTGAAAATGTCCAAATTGTGCCCAAAGTGTCACCATTATTTTCCAGCACTGCCTTAACCCTCTTGGGCATTGAGTTCACCAGAGGTTCACAGGTTGCCACTGGAGTCCTCTTCCACTCCTCCATGACGACATCACGGAGCTAGTGGATGTTAGAGACCTTGCGCTCCTCCGTTTTTAGCAAGGCAGTGGTCGTCTTAGAGTGTGTTTGGGGTTGTTATTATGTTGGAATACTGCCCTGCGGCCTAGGGATCATGCTCTGCTTCAGTATGTCACAGTATATGTATGAACTGTAGCTCTTCAGTGCCGGCAGTACTCATGCAGCCACAGACCATGACACACTTGTTTGTACTCCTCCTGAGCACTGACAGGCTGACCCCCCACCCCTTCAACCTCTGCTGCAATCTCTGGATATCACGCTGCTCTGAGTGGAACCTGTCCTGTTGAACGTTGAACGTATGGTCTTGGCCACCGTCCTGCAGCTCAGTTTCAGGGTCTTGGCAATCTTCTTATAGCCCATACCATCTTTATGTAGAGCAACAATTCTTTTTGTCACATCCTCAGAGAGTTCTTTTCCATAAGGTGCCATGTTGAATTTCCAGTGACTAGTATGAGGGAGTGTGAGAGTGATAACACAAAATTTAACACACCCGCTACCCATACACACCTGAGACCTTGTATCACTAACGAGCCACATGACACGGGGGAGGAAAAATGGCTAATTGGGCCCAATTTGGACATTTTCACTTAGGGGTGTACTGAGGGGACATTGTCTCATTTACAACGTATGTATAACATATTATGTGTACAGATGATAACATATGTACCACGGCATATTAGGGCTATTGTAGGTTCAAAAAATGTACACAGGTGTACAAAGTGTTCACGTAAATTTAAGACTTTTGTATCGGAAATTGTTATTTTTTTCTCTGAATATTACCCCCCTACGCAATTAAGTAATTTAAAAAACATTATAATGGCCCTAATAAGCCATCAAGCATAAATGTGTTGTAAGCCATTAAATTGCAAAATCACAGAAATGTTTTCTTTCAGATTAACAATGAGTGTTTAAAGCTGTTTGGACCATCTTTCCTTCGCTCCCTCATCAACTCATTCAGGTAAGACAAAATTTCAATCCCTGACAAACCTTTGCTAGACATGTTGTTGACTTGCTTTTAAAAAGTGTTGCTTTGTCTCTTTGTTATTGTAGGAATGGATCAGTAGTTGTTGACTCGACCCTTGTGTTTGCAAATCTGAGCTCAGTTCCTTCACCAAGCATTGCAGCTTCACAACTCAGGATTGCACTCATCTCTACGTCCCTGGAGATAATACCAGACAGCATTAATATAAGTAAGTAATTTAAGAAATACAAAACAAACTTAATCAGTTTGTCAATTATTTAAATAAATTATTAATTAATAATTCATTAAAATTAATTAAGTTAAAATTAAATGCATGTTACAGTGTTATATAAATTGATAAACCATTGGTATTGGTACAGCTGCTCTTCTTCTGCTGCTAATACTGCTGCACCTCATCTTACAGCTGCCCCGACAGAAACTCCTAATGCTACAGCTTCTCCTACCACTGCCCTGACAGCAACTTCAACTGCAGTTCCCACTGTTACTTCAACTGCTGCTACTACATCTACTTCCACCACTACAGCAACTACCACCACCACCATTGCATCAACAAATCCTCCTACCTTCAGCGAGGGAACCCTTGGCCTTACGTTTCGTCTTAACCAAGAGTTTACATCAGATCTCTCCAACCCATCATCATCAGCGTTCCAGACGTTAGCTGCATCAGTTGTCAGAGGGGTAAGATGTCTATGCACTATAACAGTGTGCTTCTAACAACAAAACGTTTTGCTGCAAATAAATACTTTGTAACAATTATTTTATTTTTTTTATTTTTGCCAATTTATCATTCAGTCTGTCCCTGTAATTTTCATTTGGAAACAATGAAAGCTAATATTATTCTTTTTTTCTTAAGTTGGCCAAAATTTTGGTAAATTAGCAACCCTTCCTTGATCTTGGACGCAAATGCAATGCAGATAATGATGGCTTGGCTAAATGTGCAAGGTTTTGTGACCTTCAATCATAGCAAAACCCATTAACATATGGCTCTCACTGCAACACAGAAACACAGAATATCATCTTAGAGAATTCATCAGATTTGTTCTACTATTTGAAATGAGTTGTTTTACATGAAAGAATGGGCTAAACAAATTAAATATTGTCATAAGGCAAAACAGATGTGTGATGTTGTCACTTAAGTTACATTCTGCATAGCTATGTAACTTATAAAGCTGTTGCTCTATTTGAAGTATATTGGAAGGTGGATTTTTATGTTCTTACTTGCTGCAATTTAGCAACATCTACTAATGTGAGGCTGAGCAGAGATCCCAGTGGGGCAATGCCTCTGCTTTGTGCTAAACTGTTCATTGGTGCTTGTGGCAATTTGTTGTATTTTTATTTGCAAATCACAGTAATGTTACCTTTCAGGTAAACAGAGTGTGTGGAGAGCTGTTTGGATCATTTTTCCGTCGCTCCATCGTCAACTCATTCAGGTAAGACTAAATGTCGATCACTGACAAACCTTTGCTAGACACACAAATGTGGCAACTTGCTGTTAAAAAGTGTTGCTCTCTCTCTTTGTCATTGTAGGAGTGGATCAGTGGTTGTCAACATGACCCTTGTGTTCATTGATAAAAACTCTGTTCCTTCAGCAAGCACTGCAACTTCACAACTCAGTAGTGCACTTACGAGCACCTCTACGTCCCTGAACATTATACCGGGCAGCGTGTCTGCGGGTAAGAGACTTAAATGTCAAACAATATGATTTTATGGTTTACATTTATTAAATTATTAAATGCATGTTGGGATGAAACTACCTTTAAAACATGCATTTTGAACTTCTGAAGCTATTTTTAGTCACTGACTAATACCTCCGCCTTTTCTTATATTTCAGAGTCAACATCAACATCAAGCAGTTCCTCTCGTCCCACAGTGGGCTCATTGGTAGTCTTTTCCCTAACACTGCTGGCTGTGGCACTGATAGACTTATAGCCTGCAGGCCAAAAGCTTTTATCAGCTTTATCAGTAGAAAAAAGATGTGTACCAACAAACCAAAACAAAAGACATAACAAGTATGCAATATGAAATTTACCAATACTATGCCATGTGGTAAGAAGATGTGCATTGTGTGCCAAAATTGAGAGTTTCTCAGTATTCTCAACATTTGATTTTGGTATTTCGCTTCCATGTTATTTAAAGAACTTATCATTCAGATTACAAGATCAGAAACACTCTATTTTATGTATTGAGCTTTTGTGTTGCAGTTGCCATTCAATGTATTTGTTTTGTAAATTCCTATTTACATGCCATGTTTCATGTGGCATTGTTAACGGTTAAAAATGCAAATACATGCTGTAAAGTATAATGGACTATATTTATTTCCAATAAAAAGCATTTTACAATTCAGCAGGACACAGTTACACCCAGTGACATTGTTCAGTGCAAATGAAAGAAGTGTGCAGTTAACTTTGTGTGGTGGAGTTTTAAACATATTTATCCATGAAGATGAACTTTCCTTAACCATAACCATGTAGTTTATTCTCTCTTACTATGTTTATTATTATGTGCCAAAACACCAAGCAAATTCCTTGTATGCGATGACCTACTTAACAATAAACTCAATTCTGATTGTGATTTTAGGTAGCTTACCTTAACTACTGAACTGTAGTAAAACATTGTGTAATTGAACATCAAAATAAGTGGCCATTGAATGTGCACGTTTGTTTTTACAGAATAATTTAGTTTCAAGTGAACAGTGTGGCAAGTGGATGGCTGAATACTAGTCTAAAAATGTCCAGGTACTATCATAACATTTAGCAAGTAGAAAGAATATTTGATTTTAATTGATTAGCAGTTTGAATATAATACTGGTTCCTGTATGTTTTGGGGAAGGGGAATAATATTAATACTTTGCAAAGTATTAAAATGTTATCTTGAAAATTACCCTGTTAGTTTTTTCTAATTCTTTTTGTCTCTTTTTAAATTAGGTGAAATTAAACATATATATCCTTTTTGTAAAAATAGGCAGATTTGAACATTTAGAAGTAGTGGTGTGATGGATATACTACATTTGCTGTTTATGATTACTGCCATCAAGGATGTACTGGGACTGACATTCAGTCTGGGACTTTGAGACAGAGAGGCCTTTTATGCAAACGCCGTGTGAGGGCGTGGACAGATTTTTGCAATTATTTTAATAAATAGTGTGGTACTGTATATGCAGTAAATTTCATTATGATGAAGACCTTCAAGAAACTTTTGTGACACCCGCCTCTCAAGTTTGTATAAGCAAGGCACCACTGCACTGAACAAGACCAGGTCAGGCAAGCCTGAGTCAGTCAGAATGCTAAAATAGTTAAATATAACAAAAACTACAATGCAGTCCCATAAGATAGAGCAGTGTGTAGCTGCTGTGTGCATAAAAATCAAATCCCTCAGCGCCCCTGTGCTGAAACCTGACTCTGCTTGTACTGATTGTGCAGCTACATATGACTGTTAAGAACATCAGTAATAAATATAATTAACAATAATCCATTTTCTTATTCTACCTATGGATAATTGCCAACACAGCCCTGCACACTGCCCCTGTACCAGTCACTGTTTCCATTGCCTCCTGCTGCTTCTTTTCCTCGTCCTTTTCCTACAGCTCCTGTACCTCCTCCTCTTCCTTCAACTGTTGATATATATATAAAAAAATATAGCCTATATCCCTATAAATGCATATATAAATAATCTCAGGTTCCTGCCTCATCTGTGCCTGCCACAGCACCTTTCCACCAAGGAAGAGGTCTGTTAATTTAGCTCATTTAGCTGTCTCTTGTGCCAACATTTCCATCTTCTAAATTCTTATTTTTTTGGCACCACGCATTTCTTTTTGACATATTTACCTTCTCTGTTGTGCTTGTCACACAATCCTGGGCTGGGCGATAAAACGTATTGAGATTAAACTCACCCTAGATGGTAAGTAAACTCTTTTGATCAGCGCCATTCAGCCAATCAGATTTCAGCCAAAACGAGGATTGGCCCAAGTTGGGAGGGACCGCTCGTATACCTCCTCAACATTGAAAGTATTATTAAGGCCCAGTCTGATAGACCCAGACAGCAGTCGCTGCAGCTAACCGGCCGGCTGGCACAGTCACAGATCTTTTAAAGTTGATCATAAGAAACTGAAAAATAAAAACTGCAATGGACCGGCCGTTTGGGATTGTTCCCAAAATTCCCGATGACCAATCCACCCCTGACTGACAATTCTCACAGTAGATTTCAGGGGAATGTTGGGGAATATTTGAAGGCAGTAAGGTTTGATTAAGTGACATTTGTATATAATCTAAGCATCTCCTGCAAAGGGCTGGAATGGTAATCTGGCATACTGGGCAAATGCCCGGTTGGCCAACACACCTATGGGACCGATAACATTAATTATGTATTTATATAACTGTTAAAAAAAAAAAAATAGTCCAACGACTGACCCATAGAGCATGGACAGTGTCTCACTAGTTCATTTTTTCTACTGACATGGGGCTAGCCCAATCATATCTCTTACCAGCCTCTTACTCCCTCCACCTTCTGTTTCTGGTGTTGTGGGCCAAAAAAAATTAAATAATAATCTCGAGACCGCTGCCACGAAATGTGCCACAAAAAAAAGATTGGTTTGTTACTGACTGCAGTAGCTTCACCATCAGCTGGAGTACCTTACATTGTGCAGGCACTTGAAGGAGTAAAGAATTGCTGTTACGGTTAGTGGTGGTGAGGCAGGTTGGAGGACCCAAACGCAGGACACAAGGCAGAGGAGGTACAGTTCAAAGGGGGTTTATTGAGGCAAAACAAACAAAAGGCCAGCACACTTACCAAAATCCAAAGGAACAAAGTGACAACATGAGCAAGGCAGACAACAGGGGATAGAGCATATCCACACGACAGACAGGGGTAACCCAAACAATGACCGGACGAAGACTGAAGAGAAACACCAAACATATATACACCAGGGACTAACGGGAAGGGCGGGAGTAACACAGGTGACAGACATGAGACTAACGAGACACAGGCAGGCAGAGAGAGAGAGCAGGGGAAAACAGAGAGACTGTCATGCAGAGGGATTACTGGGGTAACAGACACAACATAGATTACTGAACACTAAACACAGGCCATATCACAAGATGTAACAGATCAGAAATAAACAAACTAACTCAGACATGAGCAGACTAAACTAAAATAATGCAGACAAGGAACCTGAAGTAAATACTAAAACATGAACCAAGCCACAGGACTGGGAACAAAGACAAAGAACTAAAACACAGGACCAAGAGCTAAGATAAAAGACAAGACATACAGTGGGGGAAATAAGTATTTGACCCCTTGCTGATTTTGCAGGTTTGCCCACTTACAAAGAATGCAACGATCTATAATTTTAATCATATGTACATTCTAACAGTGAAAGACAGAATCCCAAAGAAAATTCCAGAAAATCACATCATATGAATTTATAAAAATTGATAACCATCTGATGAGGAAAAACAAGTATTTGACCCCCTACCAAACAGCAAGTATTCTGGCTCCTACAAGCCAGTTAGTCTTTCTTTAAGACACAGCCCCAATCCCAACCAATTATCTACATCAAATACACCTGCCTCACCTCGTTACCTGTATAAAAGACACCTGTCAACACCCAAACAACCAGCATCCAACATCAGCACCATGGGCAAGACCAAAGAGCTTTCTACGGACAATCAGGGACAAGATTGTTGATCTGCACAAGGCTGGGATGGGCTACAAGAGAATCGGAAAGCAACTTGGAGAGAAAAGATCAACTGTCGGTGCAGTTATCAGGAAATGGAAGAAGCACCACACCACCGCCAACCTCCCTCGGTCTGGGCCTCCACACAAGATCTCGCCTCGTGGGGTGTCCCTGATCATGCGAACGGTGAGCAATCATCCCAAAACCACAAGGGGGGAACTGATGAATCAACTGAAGGCAGCTGGGACCACAGTTACAAAAGAAACGGTTGGTAACACACTACGCCGTCATGGATTGAAATCCTGCATCGCACGCAAGGTCCCCCTGCTCAAGAAGAAACATGTACAGGCCCGCATGAAGTTCGCCATTCACCACCTGGACGACTCAGAAGAGGCCTGGAAGAAGGTGATGTGGTCAGATGAGACCAAAATAGAACTTTTTGGCCTCAACGCAACTCGTCGTGTTTGGAGGGCAAAGAACACCGAGTACAACCCAAAGAACACCATCCCCACCGTCAAGCATGGTGGTGGCAACATCATGCTTTGGGGGTGCTTTTCAGCCAAGGGGACGGGACAACTCCATCGTATTGAGGGGAGGATGGACGCGGCCATGTATCGTGGAATTTTGGACCAACATCTCCTTCCCTCAGTGAGAGAGCTGAAGATGGGTCGAGGATGGGTGTTTCAGCACGACAACGACCCTAAGCACACCGCCAAAGCAACAAAAGAGTGGCTGAAGAAGAAGCACATCAAGGTTCTGGAGTGGCCTAGCCAGTCTCCAGACCTGAATCCAATTGAAAATCTTTGGAGGGAGCTTAAAATTCGAGTTGCCAGGCGACAACCTCGGAACCTGAATGATTTGGAGGCTGTCTGCAGGGAGGAGTGGGCCAACATCCCTGCCGAAATGTGCACAAACCTTGTCACCAACTATAAAAACCGTTTGACATCTGTGCTGGCCAATAATGGCTTTTCTACAAAATATTAACATGCTGTTTGTCCAGGGGGTCAAATACTTGTTTTTCCTCATCAGATGGTTATCAATTTTTATAAATTCATATGATGTGATTTTCTGGAATTTTCTTTGGGATTCTGTCTTTCACTGTTAGAATGTACATATGATTAAAATTATAGATCGTTGCATTCTTTGTAAGTGGGCAAACCTGCAAAATCAGCAAGGGGTCAAATACTTATTTCCCCCACTGTAACTACTGAGGACAAGGAACGAGAGAAACAGGCAAATAGAAAGACACATGAACCAATGGCAAAAACTCAGAAACTCACAGGGAAAAACTACAACTCATAACAATTGCTGTGGCCACTTCCAGGCAGAGGAGGCATGCGAGTCGACAGCAAAGCAGAGGGACAGAGCAGCCATGTTTCCATCTAATTGTCATGCAAATTTTAAACCGACTTGTTGCAAAAAAGAAAAGTAAATGTGAAATAGGTGTGTTTCCATCAGCTGATTTGGAGCAAATAAACCAGGCTACGGTAATCGTAGTTACGTTTGTAGTTGACGTTATACATGACTGTAATAAACAAGACATATAGTTTCCAAACCAGAAACAAAACCAGAACTGATGGCCACTGAAATGGAGAGAGGTCCTCAGGAATGTCTTTCAAGCAGGCAAACTGCTACCAGCCATGTCTCCGCACGTTATGGGAATATCCGGCACGACGGACAGTGGATCAGACACAAGTTACAAAGCACGGCTAGTGACCGTAATGGGCCTTGGGACAGAGGGAGCAGGAGGAGAGTGGAGATGAAGCGTAAGCATGGAGTACCAGGGACCTGTATGGGAGGGAGGAGGGAGGGAGGGTCCTGGGTATCATTTACGTTGGTGATGCTGGGGACATGTCCCCACCACATTTTGAAAGCATTTGTTAAAAATGTTGTGAAAAATAGCTTGCAACAAGAAATGTTAATAACAAATGAAAATGCTATGTGAAAGGTTTATTTGCACAATAACAAAACATGCAATGCAATGTAAATATAGAAGACACAGATCAGCATTGTCAAAAAAAAGTAACTTAAGCTAAAAAAACAAGCTACTGATTACTGCATTGTATTCAATTATATCGTTATCATTTGAAGTGTCACCTGCCACCTGAATTTTGTGCTTCCCTTTATATCAATAAAGTTAAATTATATATAATTTACAAGTATATATACATAATATAAATAAAAAATATAAAAACATTTCCACTATAAA